TGCCTAAAGTTTTTGTAATACATTAGGAAGTCCCATTGAAAGATGAAGTAGGCATTTTGAATAATAAATTACTAAGTAAATTATGTACAGTTGGCAAGATTGTGTGATGTGCATATCTGACAGTGATAAAAATGCTAGTTTGAAATGTTTCATGTGAATTTCCTTTTTAGTATATGTCATCTAAATGGAGATGGCATCTGTTACTATCAAAATTCTAACTTTTTCTGGAAGATCATTAGGAAGTAATGATCTGATGATAAATAATTAGGGATGTGTTTGGCCTGCAATAATTGTTTCAAGCTTCCTAATATAACTAGTATCTTATATCAGGGGTTGCCAACTTTCCAGACCTCGGGGATATGGGGGGAAGAGAGAGAGAGATCTGATCTAACCTCTCCCCCCGCACCTCACACACACAGAGGCAGGGGTGGGATTCAAATTTCTTAACCAGTTCTGTGGGCATGGCCTAATTTGTGGATGTGGCTTGGTGGTCATGGCTTGTATGTAAATAATAAATATTTATATAAATATTGAATTTTTTATAAAAAAGAGCAACTTTTACCCAAAATCAGGCAAAGCGCAGGCAGGCAGATTGAGTTGCTCACAGAATCACAGATTCACTTAGAGATCTGTGTTTCTGCCATTGGCTAGCTGAGTCTGCACTGCTTCAGTCCAAGGAAGGTTCGTCTTAAAAGCAGAGCCGAAGATCTAAAGATTAGCTAGAAAGCAAGAAATCCAATAATTTCCTGCTTTCTAGCTAATCTAACTCTCCCAGCACAGCAGAACAGCTGATGCAGCCTTGTGTTCCTGCGCAACCTGGATTAATTGCTTTGGGGGGTACTCTGGGGGTGACATTTCTCTGTGGACCACCAAAATTTTCTCGTGGACCAAGAGTGGGCTGTAGCCCATCGATTGGCGACTGCTGTCTTATATAATTAATTTTATTATGTAGATAATTTTTCCATGTTTTTAAAAAATCAGATGGATTTATAGGAGAGTCCCATGATTCATAGATCTTTCATGCAATACTACTCCTTGCCATCTGGAGATTATATTATATTATGGTAAATTACTCTGCAAATAATTTTTCTGTGATATTTTAAAGAAGAGATCCAGATTCATATGAGAATCCCATGAATCTTTTATTAACATAACTTTTCTATAACATCGGTACCACTCCCAGCACCTGGAGTTCCCATATTATAGTAATGCTTACTCCTTATATGCTGACAAAAATATCTTTGTAGCTAGTCAGCAGATATATCTGATAAATGTCACAGGTAATTAACACTTTCTTTTATTAACACTAATAAAAGATTCTGCTCGTGGGCATTAATATGAAGTAATATGTATAATTAATCATTTTAATTTCTGTGTTTAGAAATAATAACTGAGAAAGTATAGTATATCTCCTTTGTAACCTTTGTTATCTCCTATGCAACTATGTTAAAAAGACATAGCTTTTTATTGATTAACTGTCTTTCTAAACTAACATGTCTTTCATTAAAAAACAATTTAATTTTTTAAGGATTCAATGTGAAGTACATTGATTGGCAGTTTTGTTTGGCATTCTTTTCAAAATAAAGAATAGCATTTTTAATAATCTGCACAACAAAATCCACAGTAAATTTTGGGGATTTGTGACAAATATTAAAGAGGCAATCAGTGACTAAGTTTGGTTTCCATAGTAATGACTTATGTTATGTAAGGAGTAAGGAAGTTGCATGTATTTGCCTGGTTGTCATGGCTCTGAGAATCCGGCTGGAACAACTTTTACAACTGAGATGTTTCAGAAGCATTTGAAAATAACAAATGCTAACCAGAAGCTATAAATCTTCATAAATTACAATTTCAAAGTACGTACTATGTAATTACATATTTAAGAGTTAACACTTTCTTTAAATGAAGTGTTATGTTTTAAAAATCACTGATGTTCTTAATATCTTTATAGTCTCAACCAGATCCATTGTTTATAAGGGTATTTAACAGAATTTTTAATACTTGGATTCCCAATACTGCTCCAGACTTTTCATGTTGCCTGATTGTTTGCTAATGGGAGCAATTGATCTAAAAAAACCTAAAATAATGTAACAGTGAAAATTCTTTAAATGAACTCTAAATAAGGTAGAGAAATATTGAGAAAGTTTCTGGGTTAAAAAGGTAATGTTTTGTTTCCTGTTTAGTAACAAATACACACACACACATACACACACACACATTTTTCTGTATAATTTTTGATTTGATTAATGTGATATTGTAAGTATTTACAAATGGTCACAATTGTTTTAGTTAAAGCCCTATAGTAAAGCTCTTATCCTTTTTCTTTTAAATCATAATCTGAAAAAAAATTCATAGGAGATAACACCATCCAATTAATAGGAAAGACTTTAGATATTTAAGATGTTTTATCCTGTATTTTAATGAATAAATGGATCTGCCTGTTAATAGGTTAGATTGCTAATTCATCTGACATAGATTTCTCTATTCAGAGGTGGGTTCTTCTAGTTGTGCTTTATGACAGGAAGTCATTTTTTAATTGGCATTTTAATTCTGTTCAAACGCACCATATATAGCCTACAAAATATAAAATGCTCAAATCAGAAAATACAGAAAAACAGGAAAGAAAACAAATATAAAGGTTTATTCAGCATTCATACAAAAAAGCTTGATAGCTTTTTTTCAATGTTGTAAAATTTAACAGTAGGTATCTACAAAAAATTTGGAAAAAACATTTCTGAATGTAGACTCCCATAGGAAAAGCTCCTACACAAGCAATTCCAGGATCTCTAGGTCTGCATATGCAGCAAGACTGTCCCAGTTGTCAATGCTTAACTAAAAAATATAGCGAACAGGTAATTCTCATTTAGCAATTGTCTCAGTAAGCAGTCATTCACAGATATGGTAATCAACAGTAGTAAACAATAAGAAAAATAATTTATTGAGTAATGAGTACCCTTATGCTCAAATTTCTGCACTTGAAAACACATGCTGGAATGAGAATAACTCTGGCATTGTTCACTGCTACCAGCCCTCATTCATTCCCTTACCCTCCTCTCCCTCTCTGTCATATGGTTTACTTAGGGATCATGTCACTGCAACTCCTGTCCTCATTTAGACTTCTTTGTTCCTCGGTGTTTAGGAACTGAAACATAAGCAAACTTGAATTTGGCTTCATAACTGCTGGCAATCAGAACAATTGTTTCTTTTGACTGATAGGATCACCAAATTTGAAAGATGCTATGATATAAGAATAGAATAGAATAGAATAGAATAGAATAGAATAGAATAGAATAGAACAGAATAGAATTCTTTATTGGCCAAGTGTGATTGGACATAAAAGGAATTTGTCTTGGTGCAAATGCTCTCAGTGTACATAAAAGAAAAAATACATTCGTCAAAGAGTCAAGAATTGTAAGGTACAACACTTAATAATAGTCATAGGGTACAGTAAGCAATTAAATCATACTAGGAAACAATATAAATTGCAAGGATACAAGCGACAAGTTACAGTCAGTCATACAGTAACTCCCATAAATGGGAGGGGATGGGTAATAAGGAGTGATCAGAAGATTAATAATAATAGTAATGCTTTGTAAATAGTTGGGCAGAGTTGAGGGAACTATTTGTTTAGCAGAGTGATGGCATTTGGGGAAAAAACTGTCCTTGTGTCTAGTTGTTCTGGTGTGCAGTGCTCTATAGCAGGGGTCACCAACCTTTTGGACCTCAGGGACCACCAAATTCATAATTTTAAATCCCGGAGACCACTAATATAAATTTTGACTGATGGTGGCTTGCTGACATTGGTGGGAGAGAGAGAGCCCCCTCCCCTCTCTCTCTCTCTCTCTCTCTCTCTCACACACACACACACACACACAGGCAGGGGTGGGATTCAAATTTCTTAACAACTGGTTCTGTGGGCGTGGCCTAATTTGTGGGTGTGGCTTGGTGGTCATGTGACTGGGCATGGCTTCGATGTAAATATTATAAATATTTATATAAATATTGAATTTTTGTATAAAAAAGAGCAACTTTTACCCAAAATCAGGCAAAGCAGACAGGCAGATTGAGTTGCTCACAGAATCACTTAGAGATCTGTGTTTCTGCCATCGGCTAGCTGAGTCTGCACTGCTTCAGTCCAAGGAAGGTTCATCTTAAAAGCAGAGCCAAAGATCTAAAGATTAGCTAGAAAGCAAGAAATCCAATGATTTCCTACTTTCTAGCTAATTAAATTTCCCAGCACAGCAGAACAGCTGATGGTCGGAAAAAGGAAAAATAGCAATTTAGCGGGCAAGTTTGCCAGGTAAGAAGTGAGTGAGCAGGGAGGGTGGGCCATGTGGGCAATGCAGCCTTGTGTTCCTGTGCAGCCTGGATTTATTGCTTTAGGGGGTACTCTGGAGTTGACATTTCTTTGCAGACCACCAAAATTTTCTTGTGGACCACCAGTGGGCTTGCAACCCACCAGTTGGCGACCGCTGCTCTATAGCATCATTTTGAGGGTAGGAGTTGAAACAGTTTATGTCTGGGATGTGAGGGGTCTGTAAATATATTCACAGCCCTCTTTTTGATTCATGCAGTATACAGGTCCTCGATTGAAGGCAGGTTGGTAGTAATTGTTTTTTTCTGCAGTCCTAATTACTCTCTGAAGTCTGTGTCTGTCTTGTTGGGTTGCAGAACCAAACCAGACAGTTATAGAGGTTCAGATGACAGACTCAATAATTTCTCTGTAGAACTGGATCAGCAGCTCCTTGGGCAGTTTGAGTTTTCTGAGTTAGCACAGAAAGAACATTCTTTGTTGTGCTTTTTTGATGAAGTTTTTGATGTTAGGTGTTGAAAATTATAAAAAAAAGAGTATGAAACAAAAATTAAAATGATATTTCATTGAAATGTATAGAAAACATTCCTTATCTAATTATCTTGTAAATTATGACTAATTAATATGTTTGTTCAAATGGTAAATAAATATTTACTGCATTGAAGTTTAAAAGTCTATGTTTTCCCAGATATATGGAGTCTGGGAGTTATTCTTTACATGTTGGTATGTGGACAACCACCTTTTCAAGAAGCAAATGATAGTGAAACTTTGACCATGATAATGGATTGCAAATACACAGTACCATCCCGGGTGTCCAAAGAATGTAAAGAGTAAGTAAATGATTTTATAAAATGTATTATGGCAGTAATTTAATATATGGACAGTATAGGTAGTGGTGAAGATTGAGGGAACCCAGTTCATATTTTCATTTCATCACAATGAAAAGGTCACAAATCGCCACCCCATTTTCTTTCAATCTAATCTATATCCTTAAGATTTCTTCAAGGATCAAATGGAAGAATCCTGTTTGCTATATTGAATTCCATAGAGGAGAGGCAGGATATAAATGAAACACATGTTGAAGAATGAAGTAATTTATCTTCATTCTTCAAGATATCCACATATTTATTTTTGAACATCCTTTTTTTCTAGTTAATAATTGTGCACAAGTCCTTTATTGTTTTCCCTCCTTATTTTGCATTCGCTATCCTATGATTGGTTTTACTAGCATTACAGATTAAAATTTTGTCATAGGATAAAATACTAAGCTTTAAAATTATAATTCTCCTGCTTTTGTACAAGAGGGTGATTTTAATGACAGTATGATAAATTACATTTCCATGGCTATCTTTTTAAGAATGCTTTGAAAAATTAACAAGAATGAGAATTTTTCAAAAATACTATTTATTTATTATATTTATATGCTGCCCACCTCACTTTTGAAAGTGGCTCTGGGTGACTTACAATTAAAACTATAAATATCAAAATATTTAAAATATTAGATACAAAGATAAGAAGTAAAAGGAATAATCTGTACAGTGGTGGCATCTTCTCCCTCCATCAGCCACTTTCATTGTGGAGTGCCCTTATCAGGATCCCAAACCAATCAGTAGAGCCAGGTTTTTGGGAAGACAAAAAGAATGGAGGCAGACCTTACTCCGGGTGCCAAGATATTCCAAAGAAGAGGGGCAGGCTCTCCTTAGACGTCTACAATTCTTTGATCAATGGGGCCATAGCATATTCTTTCTCATCCACGCTGCCTCGAGAGTCCAGGAATGGGTTAATCTCCTCCTCCTGATGTCATAGAGCTGAGTCTGCTACTATAAAAAAGCCAGCCCCTGGCTGGCCCGCCCATCTTTTGACTCAGCTTTTTGTCTGAGAGCATAGTCTCTGGAAGAAGTGCTTTAAGCCAGCTAAAAGAAAGTTCGAACTAAGGAGACAGCAAATAACTTTAAAATCCAGCTCCCAGGGCTCCAGTAGAGCTCTGTGTCCATGAAAGCGGGGATCTGCTCTACTGCAGCGGCGAGGCTTCGGCATTGCCGTGCAAGGGCTGTGGACCCAGGGAATGTTCATAAGAACCTCCCACACACCTCCACCAATCGCAAACCTGGTTGTTGCCGCCGTCAGCAAAGCCACTTCACAGCTGACTCTGGAGCCCTGTTCCTGCCGCTTCTCAGCTGTTCTACCTTAATTCAATCTCTTGGTGCCCGGTAAGAGCCTAAAGAGCAAAGAAGGTGGTGAGGCCATCCCAGGGGCACTCCACGTGACAGGTGACCATTTTGAAAGTGGCGGGTGGCCATTTTGTTTCAGGGGAATGTGCTTCTCCAAGGCCTCACAGTCTCCTGATTCACCTGGCCTTAGCAACAAGTAGCACCAATGTGGGGGAAGCTCACAGCACCCTTGATTCTGCTCTGTTAGCAAGATGGAGAGGGAAGCCCCCTAAGCTGGCCCCAAAGGTTTGGAAGACACCCAAGACTTAGCCCCTTTGAGGAAGAAGAAAAGACAGAGGCCTTTCTGCTAACAGGCTGCTGCAAAAATCAGAGCCAAGATTCTAGCTCCCAGAAAAACTTCAAAATTGGAGCTTAGGGCTAAGAAGAGAAGGCATGGTGCACTTGAGAAGCAGTTTGCAAAGACTTTGGCAAAAGACAGATGCAGGCCCAGATTCAACAGGTTTCTCACTCTGGGGAGGTTCACATTAGCACTGAAGTTTCTTCCAGGGGTGTGTGTGAATCTGCTCCTAGTCACCTGTTAGCTTGGTCCCCAGAGAGAGTGGAGGAAGAACAGTTTCCCCAGGACCTAAGCGGATCAGGGCCTTCCTCTAGACAGGCTACCAGGGGGCCTAGCCCTTCCTTCCCCGGTGGTCAGGGAGCCCAAGGGGGGCATAGGACTAGGCCTGAAGCAACCTACACCCCCACAGCTGCGGGCCTACATCCTGAGGAGAATAGGCCCAAGAACCTTACGGAAATGGTCTCTGTAGCCATAAGGCAGGGCCTAGCAGAAGGATTTAAACAAGGCTGGCCCTTGTTACAACAGGGTTTTCCCCAAGGGGTCCCCCTCTCTCAAAATGGTGTTTCCAGACAGCAGTTCTGTTTCCAGGCCTCCCATTCGGAGTGGGGGGGGGGGGAGGAAAAAGAGAAAGACTATTCCTCTTTGACGATAGTGGCTGTAATCATTCTGAGGAAGAGGAAGGACTCATAGACCCCAATATGTCTGAGGAAGAGGACTTCAGAGTTGATCAACCTCCATTAGCAGGGTTTTTAGAGTTTCCTTATTCAAGCCGTTGTTACACAAGCATAGCTAAGCCCTGAGAAGTGGCCTCAGAACCACAGGCAACCACATCTGGCCACCGATTTGTTGCTCTCCAAGCCAGTGGTGCATATGGAGGTTCTCCCCCACTAATTTTCCTTGATTTAGTGAAGGAACAGTGCACCTCTCCAGGGGAAAGGTCTCTCTCGTCTGCTCACGACAGATGATTCTATAATGTGGGCCCATCCCTGGCCAATGCCCTACTAGTGCCTTTGGTGGATGCTCGGTGGTGGCATTGTTTTCTTCCTCAGGCGATTAGAGCATCAATGACAGCCTCATTTTTAATGAGATCTTCACTGCGCTGGCTTCACCAGCTTCAGAAGAGACTCCTGGCCACTGAATTCAGAGCACACCAAGATCTCAAGATAATCGCAATGGCGGAGTTTACAGCAGACACCACTCTGAACTTGGCCAAGTTCTCTTCCAGGACCATGGCTTCTTCAGTGGCGGCCAAGTGGCTATTTTGGCTGCAAACTGACAATCAACTCCCACCGTAAATGGAAGTTGGCATCAGCTCTGTGCACAGGCGATAAGCTATTTGGCGATGTCCTTGAACCATACTTGATGGAGACCAAGGACAAGAGGGAAGGTCCTCTCTTCAGCAGGGAAGAGGTCCGAGTATCTCCCTGGGCCATATTTTCACCCCTCGTCTTTCAGACCTGAAACCAGCTCTCAGTTCTCTAAGAGGTCAGAGCTACTTTCCTGCTCACCAAGAACAGCATCCTGAAGCTTCCAGCAGACTGCAACAGGCCCCCAGTAAACGGTCCTTTCAAGGGGGAGAAGGTCGCTCATTCAGATGCCCGAAATGAATGCCCCATCTTCCCTCCCCATTGGAGGCTGTTTGACTTTCTTCTCCTCCAGAGGGGAGGAGTCTACATCGGACGCCTGGGTTCTTGAAACAGTGAGGTCAGGCCTCCAACTGGAGTTTCTCTTCCCACCTCCATGATGGTTTGTTCACTGCCCCACCTCCATGGACCGCTGTAAACGGGCCCTTTATGGAATCGGCAATCCAATATCTCGTCGACATACGAGCCATTCAACTGGTTCCTGAGGATCAACGAGAGCAAGGCTTCTATTCTTGCCTCTTCGTGATCCCAAAGGCCTCTGGGGGGTGGCGAGCCATTTGGATCTTAAATTCTTAAACAAATTTATCCCATACAGGTGTTTTAAGATGCAGACCTTGCATTCTATCCTTAAGAGCATTTGAGAGGGCAACCTCCTCTCCTCCATAGATCTCACGGGAGGCTTACTTTCATATTCCTATCTGGCCTCATCATCGTCAGTTTCTCCGTTTTTGTTACCAGAACAACCATTTCCAGTACCGGGCACTACCCTTCAGTCTCTCGTCGGCCGCAAGGGTCTTCACGAAAGTCTTGGCAGTTGATCCAGTCAGCTCATCGCGACCTTCACATCACATTGCAGAGCCTACGAGACCACGGGTTCTCGATCAACTAAGGAAAAGTCACCTTTCCCTGATGACCAGGTTGCTTTACCTCGGAGTGATTATAGATATATCACTCTGCAAGGTGTTTCTCTCCCCGTATAAGAGGGGATAACCTTCACAGTTGCATCCTTCAGATTCGGAGTCAGAGCACTGTCCCATTGTCTCTACTGTCCCAGATCCTGGGAAAGATGATCTCCAGCATTAAAATCGTCCCGTGGGCCTGTCGCCATGGCCGGGAACTCCAATGGTACTTCTTTCCCTTTCAACGGGCAGGAACCAGCCATTCTACCATAAGGGTACAGGTTCCTTCTCAGGTCCTTCGGTCCTTTATATGGTGGCAATCCCAGGCCCTAGAGAGGGGTCTTCCATTCAAGGAACCAGACAGAATCTGGCTCACCACAGATGCCAGTCTCCATGGTTGGGGATCCCATCTGGAGAGAGAAATAGCCCGGGGGTGTTGGTCACATGCAGAAAGCACGTGTCCCATAAATTGGCTGGAGCTCAGGGCTATTTCCCTAGCCCTGAAACACTTCTGGAACAGGGTGACTAGTCACCATGTGTTAGTCATGACAGACAATGTGGCTGCAAAGGTCCATGTCAACAGGCAAGTGGGGACCAGGTCCAGGGCCTTTATGAGAGAGGCAGAGAACTTGGGGAGATGGGCGGAGAGACATCTGCTTTCCATCAGGGTGGACCATATATCTGGGGTCGACAATGTCCAGGCTGACTGGTTGAATCGGTCCACAGGAGACCAGGCAGAGTGGAATCTCCACCCCTCTCTGTTTTGGAACTTGTCACGCCGATTTGGTCCTCTGACCGTAGACCTCTTTGCTACCCCTCAGAATGCCCAGGTGGATAGGTTCCTCACCAGGTTTCCAACCCAGGGAGTGGAGGGGACCAATGCGCTTCGGAGCACCTGGCCTCCGGGTCTCCTCTACTCCTTTTCCCCTCTTCCCATTATTCCGGCTGTAATTCAGAAGTTGCTGGAGGATAAGGCGGAGCTGATTCTCCTGGTGCCCCATTGGCCCAGGAGACCCTGGTTCACAGATCTAGTGAACCTGTCTGTGGCCCAATCATGAAAGATCCCGGCTTCCAGGATCTCCCTGCATCAGAGGGCATTACTTCACCCAAACCCCCAGTGGTTCAGCTTAATCATTTGGCACTTGAGTAGCAATCTATGAGGGCTCCCAACTTTCCTGGCAGGGTGATTGACACCATACAATCTACGATGACACTTGGAGGGCCTTCTGCCCCTGATGCATTCCTTTGGCCAGAGACCCCTCTTCTGCTTCTGTGGCAGAGATGCCAATGTTCCTACAAGATGGCTTAGACAAGGGACTGGCCCCTAACATGCTTCGCCGCCAGGTAGTGGCTTTCTCTTCTGTTCTATCCTGGGAGGGATATGCTTCTCTGTCCCATCACCCTTCGGTGCACAGGTTCCTAAGGGGGACATCTAACCTTCAATCTCCTATTGTACATAGGTTTCCCACTTGGGATTTACCTAAAATTTTACAAGCTCTTAACGAGGAACCCTTTTGAGCCCCTCAGATCTGTATCTCTACAAATGCTGTCCCTCAAGGTAGTATTTTTAGTGGCCATTACCTCAGCCAGGAGAGTGTCTGAATTAGCGGCACTTTCACAACAATAGGACCTGTGTCTTTTCCATCAGAACAGGGTAGTTCTTCGGTTAGACCTCACGTTTGTCCCTAAGATAAACACTTGGTTTCACCGGGCGCAAGATGTTGTGTTACCAGACTTTTGCCCCAGACCACAACACAAATTGGAACACAGGTAGCATACACTGGATGTTAGGCGGGCCCTCCAAATTTACATCGAACAGATGGCGGCCTTTCGAAAATCTGAAGCCATGTTTGTGTCATTTCATCACTCTACCCTGGGGAACAAGGTAACTTCATCGACAATTGGTAGGTGGATTAGGAGTGTGGCTACATTGGCCTCCTGGTCTACTCAAACGTCGCTGGAGGAGATCTGCAGAGCGGCTACCTGAGCTTCGCCTTTGCCATTTATACAACATTATCTCCTGGATTCATTTGCCTTAACCTAGGCATCGTTTGGTTGGAGGGTGCTTCAAAAGGTGGCTCCTCAGCTGGAGTGATTGGCCTAAACGCTGGCCCTCCTGTGGACGTGCAGGCTTTGGTATGTCCCAATCCTGTATTCTCGAGGCAGTGTGGATGAGAATGGGTGTTGATATAATTGCCTGAGAACACCCTTTCTATCTATGTTGCAAGAGAGTCCAGCCCCACCCTATACGTCTGGATTTGATGGTTGGGAGGAGTGAAATTAATTTCTTGCTTATCTTCCAGAGACACATTATGTCTGTCAAGTATCCTGCCTAAAAGATGGGCGGACCAGCCAGTTGCTGGCTTTTTTAAAGTGGCAGTCTCAGCTCTATGATGTCAGAAGGAGGAGCTTAACCCATTCCTGGACTCTCTTGCAGCGTAGATAGAAAGGGCGCCCATTTTGTTGGATTGAGTGAAACAGGCCAATTGTCATGTTCCAGTGTCCAGCATCTAGAAATGCAGACAACACAGTTCAGTGTGGTACTTTTTATCTTGCAAATGTGAAACCCGGCACAGAGTGACAAACAACAAAGTAATCAAAGTCAGTACTACTGTGGTTTACTCCTCCACCTTAAATGTGCTCTACCCCACCCCACCCTACGGCTCTACCTCCTACCTAACACGTGCTGCCAATATGCCTGCCGCTTTCTTGCAGCATACCAGTTTCTCTTCCTCACCCTGCATGCCATGCTCCCTGCATCTGCTCGCACTTTGCTACTCAGCTGTTCTGCCGTGAATCAGCTGTTGGCGAAGCCTGCAGCTCAGCTGGCTGTCCGATGGTACCGTAGATGTGGCAGGCATTCTGCAGAGTCCCCATGATGTGCCAGTCTTTTCTGCAGCTGTGAGCTAGGCCAGTGTTCAGCTGGTATTGTCAGTAGACACATCCCAGTCCCCTGCCCGAATGGCAACCCCGGGCCGGCTGGTGAATCATTGAAATGAGACAGTTCCTCAGAGAATCTGGTCCCATGCCATGAAGGGTTTTAAAGTTGATAACCAACACGTTGAATTAAACCCAGAAGCTAACCAGAACTGATACTGCCCATATATATATATTATAAACACAAACATGATCAGAACTTGTATATTGCAAACCTTCCATTTATATAAAGGGAGCCTTGGTTGCACAGTGATTTGAATGCAATATTGCAGGCAAACTTTGCCCACAGCCTCAAGTTCAATCCTTATGGGACTCAAGGTTGACTGAGTCTTCCATTCATCTGAGCTTGGTAAAATGACCCAAATTGTTGGGAAATATGCTAACATCGTAAATTGCCCAGATAATGCTATAGAGTGAGCTTAATGCTGTGATTTTCAGTTTTCAAGCTACTTTTATACTTAGCTATATATATAAAAGCGAAAAAGCACTCATACGTCATCACAAAATCTCCAGAACCATAAGGCCTACAAACTTGAAATTTGGCATGTATGTTCCTCTTGACTTCTACATGCTCACTAACAAAGGATTTTTTTGAAATGACTATCAAGATGATTAGTATTTCCTATATTATTATTAACACTGATGCCAAGGACTTCTACTCCCCCTCCCCACCTGAAAAGAAATATCTTACAACTGCAGTTCAGCTAAGCCACACCCAGGCTCCTTGCTGTCTCCTTGCTCACACAGCAAATACTGTTTCAGTTTCCAAACTGCCATCAACTCTCTCCCCACCTGAAAAATTTGTTCCAACTGCAGTTGAGCTAATCCATGCCCAGGCTCCTTGCTGTCTCCTTCTTGCTCACATAGCAAATACAGCCCTGAACACTCTCACACTGACAGGACACTAACCAGATGAATACCGATGGATGCTGGTAGGTAGAGGCACAATTTTCTCCTCTTATTTTCCTCCCAAAAAACTTGCCCGATCACATAGGTTCATAGGGAAGCATGGATACCCTGCTAGTGTTATACATGTGTAAAACTTTCTAAAACATAGTGGAAAGCAAATCAAAACACAGCATTAAACAAAACTTGTTTGTGTACTTCCTAGTTTAGTTACGGTGAGGTTTTCCTGGTTGTTTTTAGAAACCCTTACCAAGTCAGAGCTATCTTACCTATCAAGATAAAAATAAGACTAGATTTTAATCTCAAATGAATTTATATACTGATGGATTTAGGAAGTATCTCATATAGGTCTGTGTTCCAATTCTAATTCTGAAAAAAATATGGAGATCTAGTATCTCAGTAAAATAATGCTTAATAGGAAGAATTCTACAAATCAAATAACCAATTATATGTTGAGTAAGAACAAGTTGTATTATAAAAGAAAAACAGCTTTGTGAAATATGCTCTTATGTAATCATGCTAATATATTCTTGTATTTTTCTTGCTAGTTTAATTACACGAATGTTGCAAAGAGATCCCAAACAAAGGGCATCTTTGGAAGAAATTGAAAATCACCCTTGGCTACAAGGAGTTGATCCCTCACCTGCAACAAAATATAATATTCCTTTGGTTTCATATAAAAATCTTTCAGAGGAAGAGCACAATAGCATCATACAACGCATGGTTCTTGGAGATATTGCAGATCGAGATACTATTGTTGAGTAAGTAACATTTTATACACTTTTATAATTCAGTATGTAGCTGTTCTTATTCTGTTACAAGAGTATAATAGAACATTCTTTCTCAATCTGGTGCCCTCCATAGGTATTTAGATTTCAGTCCAGAATTAACAGCTATCATGATCAACAGCCATTTCATGTGATCATTATAAATATTTAGTCCAGAATATGAAATTGGAAAGGAATATGCAAAAGCACAAGAACTTCTGTGGCATCATAATCGGGTTATTAATGTTTCCTCAGTATGTTCTTAGTATCTAGTTTTCAGAGAAATGTCAGATGTTTGTTTCACACTTTTCTACTTTAATTTGAAGTTGTTTAGAACAGTAATTTTTATTTTTATTTTGTCCTTAAAACAATTCCATAGTAAGACTTCTACAATTTAAGGAAAATATTGACAATTACTTTTGTTCTAAATAGAAAACACAACTATATAACCAATTGTAATCTTTTCCGTTCAGTTTTCTTATTTTTTAAAAAAATGTTTATGTACTCTATGGGACAGTGATTATATTAATATTCTCTTCTAACTGTAATTAGATAGATGGCAAAAGCAAGATGCTGTAGCCTAAATTACTATAAGACATGTAAAATATCCTCATATTGTAGTACACCTTCTTCACTCCCATTCTGTGCATGTGTGTTTGTTGGTTGGTTATGAAGGCAGGTAGTTCTATCATTTGACTTCCTAATTCTTTCCCATATGTAAATAATACCTGCATGTATATTATGTATCTGCTTCTAATCTATTTAAAAGCTTTTCAGCATATTTAGATCTTCAAATAATGAAAGACCACTTAACTCACTTTCTATATAAAATCTATTAAGTTTAATAAATGCACATTTATTTTGATTAAAAATATTAGTTGAAATGAGCAAATGAAACAAACATCTGATAAGTTGATTTAGGTCTCATTTGATATAATAAGCGTTGTGAATTTGTGCTAAATCCCTTTGAGCGTTTGAACAGTAAGTTGCTTGAATTTGATGTCTAATAGTAATCTATCAGGTATTGACAGTGATTTGCTGCTATTGTGACTTTGTATGAAAAATTACAAAGAAGGCTGTAAAGTGAGAACATTCACTTTAAGTTGGTTGAAGCAATATGAGGTAAAGTATTACAGGTAGTCCTCAACTTAAAACAATCCATTTAGTGCCCATTCAAAGTTACAGTGCCACTGAAAAGTGTGATTTTCGTTCACACAACAGTTGCTGCATGGTCACATGACCAAAATTCAGCTTGGCAATTTGGCTTTTATGACTATTGCAGTGTCCTATGGTCATGTGAATCCCCTTTTGCGACCTTCTGACCAACAAAGTCAATGGGGAATCCATATTTATTTAACATGTTACTAATGCAAGGATTCCCTTAACAATTGTGGCAAGAAAAGTCATAAAATGGGGCAAACTTGCTTACCAAATGTTTCACTTAGCAACATAAATATTGGGCTCAGTTGTGGTCATAATTCAAGAACTACCTGTACTTATTTGTTTTAAATTATCTTGATTTTATTTGATGGCAGAAGTCATTAGTAATGAATTTTTTTTAAGTTTTTATTTTTTAAGACAAACATATACAAACAAAACATAAAAACCATCTTCCATCATATACAAACAGTGTGTCAGTTTGTTACAAATCTTTTGTGCTATCCTTTTATAATCATTTCTCAATATATATAAATTTCCACATTATCAAGCAAACACATGCTTATATATTTATCAATTATTAATCATCCATGACCAAATTATTTATTCTATCACTTTATATGAACTACTCCAAATTTTATTCCAAAATGTATATTATACTTTCATCCAATGGTTATAAATGTCTATATTATATTTTATATCTCTCTATTAAACCTATTACAAAGTCATCAAATCTATTACATTACCATGTGTTTTTGTCCATTGATAAAACAAATCCCATATCATATAAAATTCTTTATCTTCTTGTTCTCTAATTTCAAATGTCAATCTATTCATTTCAGCATAGTCCATAATTTTCTTAATAACTTCCTCCTGCATAAGTATTTTATTATTTTTCCAATTCTTAGCAAACACAATTCTATCTGCTGTTAAAAGATTTACAATCAAATACCTCAATTCTTTATTGTATATTTCCAGTATAATTCCCAATTAAAAAATCTCTGTTTAAAGTCTTTGTGTTGTTATATCATTTTTTCCAACCATGTATGGATTTTAGTTCAATATTTTTTTGCATCCGAGCACGTCCACCACATATGGTAATATGAACCAGGTGTCTGATGACATTTCCAACATTTATCCAATTTATTCTTAAACATTCTTGCAAGTCTCGTCAGGGAGTAGATGCCACCTCTAAAACATCTTACACAAATTTTCTTTATATGCAGTTGACAATGTCATTTTATAATTTTGAGACCACAATTTTTGCCACTTCTCTAAATCAATCCCATATCCAAAATTTTTCCCCCAAGTAATCATCGTTTCTTTAACTTGTTCTTCTTCCAGTTTAAATTCTAATAAATAAATGTCCATAAAGTTTTTAAATTACTTTTTCATCAGTACCCATCAAAATTTTACCTAAATCAGTCAACTTATCATAAATACTTTCTGTTTTAAAATCTTTATTAAATCTAGATTGTACTTGCAAATATGAAAACCAATTCATTTTTATACCTTGTTCTTGCAGCGCTTGCAAGTTCACCCTTTTCATTCAGTTCACCCTTTTCACCATATCTAACTGTTTGTTCCTTTTTATATATTACTGGATAGGAAAAAGTTTCCATTTAACAGATAATCAGAGTTGGAAGGGACCTTGTAGGTCATCTAGTCCAACCCCCCACCCAAGCGGAAGACCCTACACTATTTCTGACAAATGGCAGTCCAATCTCTATTTGAAAGTCTCAAGTGATGGCGCTCCCACAACCTCCGCAAGCTGTTCCATTGGTTGATTTTCTCACTGTCAGAAAGTTTCTCCTTATTTCCAGGTTAAATCTCTCCTTGTTCAGTTTCCATCCATTATTCCTTGTCTGGCCTACAGGCGCTTTAGAAAATAGCTTGACCCCTTCTTCCCTGTGGCAGCCCCTCTAATATTGGAAGACCGCTATCATGTCTCCCCTGGTCCTTATCTTTACTAGACTAGCCAAGCCCAGTTCCTGCAACCATTCGTTGTATGTTTTAGCTTCCAGTCCCCTAATCATCCTGGTTGCTCTTCTCTGTACTTTTTCTAGAGTCTCAACATCTTTTTTATAATGTGGTGACCAAAACTGGATGCAGTACTCTAGGTGTAGTCTTACTAAGGCTTTATAGAGTGGTATTAGTACTTCCCTTGATCTTGATTGTATCCCTCTGTTAATACAATTTAGGATTGCACTAGCTTTTGGGGTTGCTGCTGCACACTGCTGGCTCATATTTAGCTGGTTGTCCACGAAGACTCCAAGATCCCTCTCACAGTTGCTGCTACTTTGCCTGGTTTCACCCAGTCTATATGTGTACTTTTGGTTTTTCTTGCCTAAGTGTAGGACTTTACTTTTCTCTACATTGAATTTCATCTTGTTAGATACAGCCCAGTGTTCTGGTCTGTCAAGATCTATCTAGATCTCGAGCCTATCTTCTTGTGTGTTAGCTATTCCTGCCAGCTTAGTATCATCTGCAAATTTGGTAAGTTCCCCTTCTATTCCTTCATCTAAGTCGTTAATGAAGATATTGAAGAGTACTGAGCCCGAGATGGAACCTTGTGGCACCCCACTGATTACTTCCTTCTATGTAGACTTAGACCCAATTAAGGACTACTTGTTGAGTACGGTTTGCCAGCCAGTTGTGAGTCCATCTAGTGGTGGTGCTATCTATTCCACTTTTTTCTCACTTACTAAGAAGTAGGTGGTGGCCTACTTTGTCAAATGCCTTGCTGAAATCTAAATATATTATGTCCACAGTATTTTGCTGGTCAACTAATTTAGTCACTGTGTTGAAGAATGAACTAAGATTGGTTTGGCATGATTTGTTTTTAACAAACCCTTGCTGACTGCTAGTTATTACTTTACTTGTTTCTAGATGTTGGCAGATCTGCTTTTTATTAGCTTTTCCAGTATCTTCCCGGGTATTGATGTTAAGGCTGATTGATGTATAGTTTCCTGGGTCTGTTTTTTTCCTTTTTTGAAGATGGGAACCACATCAACTCTTTTCCAGTCCTCTGGTAGTTCCCTGGTGCTCCAGAATTTTTGAAAGATATGGTGCAGTGGTTCTGAGATGACTTCTGCCAGCTCTTTTAAAACTCTGGGATGTAATCCATCAGGCCCCGATGATTTGTTTTTATCAAGATCAGACAGGTTTTCTCTTACCATTTTTTTGCTTATTTTAACTTTTATTTCTGGTATGTCTTTTATAGTTATGTTTTTGATGGGTTGAGCTATAGTTTCTTTTTGCGTGAAGACGGATGCAAAGAATGAGTTAAGCAGTTCTGCTTTCTCTCTGTTGCCTGTTACTTCCTTGCTGTCTTCTTTCTTTAGTGGACCGACTGTTTCCTTGATTTTTTTTCTTGTTATTTATATATTGGAAATAATGTTTTTAATTATCTTTTACTTTTGTTGCAAGTCTTTGTTTGCTCTGAGCCTTTGCTTTCGTGACTTCGTCTTTGCAGATTCTGGCTATCTGCTGATATTCTGCCTTAGTTGTATGTCCTTCTTTCCAGTTTTTGCACTTGTCCTTTTTTTCTTTCAATTTGCCAGAGAGATCTCTGTGCAGCCATGCTGGTTTCTTCTTGGATTTCTTGTTTTTCTTTCTCAGTGGTATTGTGCTGGTCTCGGCTTCTATGATCGTACTTTTCAGAGTTTCCCAAGATTCTTGAGTTGTTTTCCCCTTTAAGATTTTTATCCACGGAATCTTTCCCAAATTCTCTCTGAGTTTATTAAAATCAGCTCTTTTAAAATCCAAGATTCTGGTGTTATTATGTTCTATTGCTTGTGTTTGTGTTATGTTGAATTTTAGTATGACATAGTCACTCTCACCCAAGGTTCCTGCAGTTTCAACTCCCTCTATCACTTTTTCTGTTTGTAAGAATTAAGTCCAGTATGGCTTCTAGTTTTACCCTCTACCTTTTTGACAACAAAGTTGTCAGCTAGGTTGGTTAGGAACTTGCTTGATTTCTCACTTGGTGCAGAATTAGTTTTCCAATTGATATCAGGATAATTGAAGTCTCCCATTACTATTGTTGTGTGTTTGTTAGTTGGCTGGCAAAAAGGACACCTATTTTTTCTGCTTTATTGGGTGGCCTATAATATACACCTGTTGTGGCTCCGGGCTTGGATTCAGCTCCTGTGATTGATATGAGTTCAAGTGAAGAGGTTACGTCAGAACAATTTGAACCAGCCTGGCTTACTGATTGGACTGATAACC